ATCTAAAAAAAATTTGTGTGGTAATTAATATAAAATAACAAATAGAAGAATGTTAATTTATTGAATCAATAAATCTAGTTTAAATGTAATTACTTTTTTTTTAATAATGTGAAACTTTGAAAATGATGATGTGGACACTTTAAGAAGAGAGAAAACTTTCCCATTATATAATAGATTTAATTGTCTAAAATTTATTTTCCTATACATTAGATTTGGTATCAAAATGGAGAAATTTTTGAAAAGCTAAATACAGTAAAAAAATTCTTTTGGAAAGTATAAAAAATTCACCTTTTTTTAATTAAATCGTTCACCTTTTTTTATGACATGAATTGTAATTCAGTGATCCTATGTAATCTTCATGTAAAGTTGATTTTGAAATCAATATAATAAGATGGACTTTAAGAAAAAAGATAAAATCAATTTTGTTTCAATGATTCATCGATTGTTTAAGAGTTCTCACATAACATATTGTACGCTTATATTGTAGAAATGAAAATCATTTTTATATGGCAGTTTGTTACTTTTGAGAAAGATTAATACCAAAAAAAAAAGAGAAAGATTAATACAAGGATCGTCCGTTTCAAAATTCATAAAAGAACCCCACGGTTTCATCATTTTAGTTAAAGGGTTACACAATTTGATTAACAACGAGGGGTTTTCGGCTTATTTGTACCCGAACTCTTGACAAGTGCAAAAATTTATACCTAATTTTTGAGACTGTACTTTTAGATACCCGAACTCATTAAAATTTAAATTTTGCTATTCAAACTTCCAAAAATAGGCGTACACATACCTAACAGATAACGGTGTTAGTTTTTCCGTTAAATGTGTTGACTAGGATGCTGAATCATATGAGTTTTCGGCTTATTCGTGTCCCAACTCTAAACATGTACGCAAATACATTTCCATGATGATATTTTCAATATTTTTTTATTTTAAATTTTTTATTTACAAATAATAATATTTTAAATAAAAAATATATAAAAAATATTAATATTGTTTTGGTTCCTATTTAATTTTGATCAATTTAATATTAAATTTAACATTGAATTTGTTTTTACTAAATATCAGTTTTTAATATTAGATAACAATACACAATGTTGTATTGATATTTTATCATTTCAAATTTAATATATTAAAGATGAATTATTCAAATATTATAATAATTTATGTTTATGAGTTGTATCATAGTTGACAGTTACTATAATATATTGAATGCGTAATTTAAAACCGTACATAACATACCATAATAATATATAGACATTATAGTATATATCTAATATGATATATTATAGTATATTGAATATGAAATATATACACATTATAGTACACATTATAGTATATATCTGATATGATATTTTTTTATTTTTAAAATCATAATATGTTATTTTTATTTTCAATATCTGATACTAATTGTCTTTAGTTCGTTAATTTTTTAAAAAAATTTTTTTTAATTCTAAAAACATAATTAACATATATTTTTACATAATTGTTTAGTTTTATAAACGTAATTCTAAATTATTAATATATATATATATATTTATCGTAATTAAATTGTCATTTAATAAATAAAATGGTGAGAGTGGTTGGCACATAAACATTTTCTTTAAAATCATTTTATAAATAATATTAAAGAGATTTTTACCATAACAAATACAAAATAATCAAAAAAAAAATATTTAGATTTTGGGAATGTATTTGCATTTGATAAAGCGAAAACTCATATGATTCAGCATCATAGTCAGCATATTTAACGGAAAATCTAACACTGTTATCTGTTGGATATATGTACGCCT